TAGTCCAGCAACTCACCTATAACTTACAGTCTGAAGAGAGTTGTTTGGGGAACTGAGAGGTGAAATGACTTGGACACAGTCACACAGCCAGTCTATGCATGATACCCCATATCTCCATCTCACCAGGTTACATGTGAATCACATAGTCAATATTACTTTGCCAAACCTTCTAACTGGTGCCCTAGCCTCTTTCTCCCCTGTTCTTTCCTCCCTTCATATCTACAGTACAGAGAACAGGAATAATTAAATCATTTTCCAAGTTTCGCTTTGTAATAATGCTCAGTCTTGATACTATGGCACGGCAGGAAACCATTTCCCACCTCCTCTGACCCCCTTAAGCTTCTTTGACATGACTTTAACTATCTAGCTATCTAGTGGACATTGTTTTCCTTTGATTTTCCCAACAACTCAGTGAATGGAGGCAGGATTATTCTTATTTTACAGATGAGGAAACTGAGGCTCAGAGTGGCCCAGGGATTTGGCCAGGGCTACATAGCTCATGGGTGGCAGCAGTGGGATCCTCACCTACAGGCATAGTGTCAAAGCCAAAGCAAGGCCTAGGAGACAGGAGAGTCCTAGGGGGCCTGGTGTGTGGTCACTTCCTCCTCCCTCCCCTGCCCCTTGTTTCCTGCTTCCTTTTGGTCAAAGAAAAGCAGGAGCCCAGAAGAGTGAAGGAACATAGGGAAACAAAGCCCTGGGCCCCAGGCCTGGCATTTCTCTTGCTGCTTTTCTAGTCGCAGCCCCTCTGAGTCCTGAAGACAGGCAGTGCGGTATAGTAGGTCACCTTCAATGATCCAGATTCAAGTACCACCTCTGCTGTGTCCTGGCTGTGTGAGTCTGGTCAAGTCACTTTCCCTCTTAGTGCCCCAGGCCACAGAGAAGGTGCTGACAGGATTGACTGAAGGAGTTCCCTGTACCAATGAAATCACAGGGGCAGCCTCCTCCCCCTCTCCCTCTCCCCTCTGAGTTCCAAAGGGATCTAGAGAGTGGCCACCTGCTTTTGCTTGAGTGGCCTGGTAGGTGAGAACAAGGCATCCGGGACAACCTGCCTTGCCCTGCAGGGCCCAAGTCTCAGGATACAGCAGCTGCAGCCCTGCCAGGAGGGGAGCCAGCACTGGCTGGAGACCTTCAGTGAGATCCTAGCATATTCTGTCAGCCCTCAGAGGGGCTGGAGGGAGCTGGCTCCTCTCCTAATGACAGACCCCCCACCTCACAGCCACACGTGTACATACATGCAGAAACATACACAGGCACACAATGCATGTGCATACACACTGAAATACACATAGCTACACGTGTATGCATGTACACACACAGAAATACACAGCCACACATGTACAGAGAAATACACATAGCCACACATGTTTGCATGTACATATACACAGAAACATACACACAGCCACAATGCATGCAGATACGTATATATACACAGAGCCACATGAACATACATGTACATATATGCAGAAATATACACACACACACACACCCGGGTTTACAGAAGGGAGGGATCTTGGCAGTCATCAAGTCCAGCTCTCTCAAGTACATGGCACCAGGCCAGGAAGATGGCAGGCAGTCATGGGTGAAGGAGAGGCAGGCTATGGCCCAAAGAGACAGCTGCATATGTAGGCAGGTCACCTCAGAGGTGAGGCCACAGTGAGTCAAGTAGTGAGTGGCAGAGCCACCATTTGATCCCAGGCCTCAGGCCTCAGACTTCAAAGTTCATGTTCCCCCCTAGATCGAGGGGCCCTGATTAGGATCGACAACAGTGATAAGTGGTGCTAGCTGAGGGGAGGAGAAAAGGAAGCGGGAACCGGAGAGAGAGCATGAAAAAGAGGAAGAAAGAGAAGTAGAACATGAGGAAAGGAGGGGGAGAATGAAGAGGAATGGGAGAGAAAAGGTTTCCAGTGACGCCCAGAGGGCCCACCTAACAACTCTACTAGTGACACTGGCTGCCTTTCCTTGACCTAAAGAATTGGATTTTTCTAATTTATTTTTTATTTTGGCTAGGCAATGGGGTTAAGTGACTTGCCCAGGGTCACACAGCTAGTAAGTGTTATGTGCCTAAGGACGAAGAATTGGATTTTTTAAAAAAATCAAATATGAACATTAGGTTGGCTCTGACTCTGTGTACTTATGCCTTATACGAGATTGTAATGGACCCTAATGTTTGGCATCATGGGATGCTCAGTAGGTATCCCACATCTTCTAACTTTACTCAGCTACTTGTGGTCCCCTGATCATCCTCAGGTGGGACTTTCAGCTCATTCACAGAGGACTTCAAGACCACAGGATTGAATGCTACAAAGATCCAAAGGTCCTCTAATGAAATCCTCTCATTTTACACAGAGGGAAACTGAGATCCAGAAGGATGAACTAGCTTACCCAATATCTGGGCCAGATGACTTCCCCAGTACCTTTCAGCTCGAAACCTTGGATTCCATAATGGTGGATTTAGAGCTGGAAGTTGAAGTGGCTGCCTTGAGAGGTGGTGGGCTGCCCCTTTCTGGAGGCCATGAAACAAAGGCTGGATAGCTAATTGTAGGGAATGTGGTAGGGGGATTCTGACATTCAATGATTCCATGATCTCACAGCTTCAATTCAGGCCTCTGCTTTTTGCCCCCAAATCACCCCACCACGCTGCTGCCTTCTAAGGCCCAGCTGAATATGAAAGTAAAATTTGTAAAGGGGTCTCACCACAGCCAGAAGGGCCCTTGTAGTGCACTCTACAAACATGCAAAGGCTACGAAGAAGGAAAGCTTTGATTTGGGCCAGTGCTCATGCTTCTCAGTTACCTGTGACTAATTCTGGGGCTCCTCTCTAGTCCTTCCTTCCATTGTCCTTATTCCCTTAGGCCACAAGATTGGCCCCTCTTGGTCATCTAGCGCTACCTGTCAGAATGTGGTGCTTTTGAGGCCCCCCCCCCACCATCATCTACCTCCTGTGGCCATCTCTGACACAGCCATGTTTTCTCCCTGCCCTCCCATATAGCCCTGAGTGGGGAAGGTACTCACTGTCGCTACCCAGTCATTGTTGCTCCAATTCATTGATCACCCACCTCAGTCCTGACTCAATGCTGGCTCCTTCCCAGATGCATTAAACTGCCCAGACGTGGAAGGTGGGATTTGATCAGCATAGACACCGGCTCTGGAGACATATTCTTACAGTCCAGAGAGGAAGGACAGTGTGAGCAAAACCCCACCCTTTCACAGCCACTCAGTTCCCCTTTTTTTGTTTCCTGACTTAAACCAATGTCTTTTTTTTTTCTTCTCCCTTCTCAGAGGCATGATAGCTTATTTCCCCTTCCATCTGCTTGGAACCCCCAACACTGCCACCATGAGTTGGGCTCAGAAAAAGCCTTCTCCACCTACTTTGGTGGCGCTGAGACTCAGGCCATAGAGCCTAGCCCAAGCAATCAGGTCATGAAGACAACCTTGGCTTAAGGGTTGCAGGAATAGGCAGGACACAGGGAGCAACGCTAGAGAGGAAAGAGAAAGGCAGAAATGGGGGGCATGGCAGGGAGAGGGAGACAGACAGGTCAAGCTCTTGATGAAGAAGAGTTGTATTATAAAACCTTTGGCCCTCTAAGGGACAACTAGAATGAAAGGGAGGTGTGGGGCAAAGGGGACAGTTTCTCCATAGAACCCCAGTTTCCAGAAAATGACAGAGTTAGAGATAGGAAGACTTCCTCTGTTGAGTAATTTTCTAAGAAAGATTTTTTTTTTCTGCAGATAAAAATGTCAGAACATGAGCGAAGGCGCAAACTTGTACCCTTCCCTATTTTCCAGGAATGTTGATTTTTTTTTTTTCCATTTAAGACCCTTATTAGGAGACCATGTCTTTAATTATCTAGGACTCTCTAATCCTGGAAAGCATGCCTCCTCTGGGCCACTCAGGAAAAAATCAGGGTGTTACTGCCAGCTGGCTCTGGGGCTGAGCCCCACTGCTACCACTGGCCTGCTGTTCTCCCACTCAGTGTGAAAAGGAGTGACTTCCTTTAGTCAGTCCAGGAAGCATATTTCTCCCACAGATTCTCCCAGGAAATAGTTTGCGTTGGCACATGCTATCTCAGGAATTATAGCAACAGGCAGCAAATGGTGAGGACTTCAAGCTTCGGGCATCCCACTGCAATACTTGCCATCCTTGCCCCACCAGCACACCTTTCATTGCCTGAACTCAGTCTCAGGGGCCTCATGCAGAAGACCTTCCTAGGTTCCAATGCAAGTTGTCAAATTATTAAGATTATTTAAAATGTCTGAATGTCTCATTGATGCCTTTACTTGCTGTCACCTATGGCCTTCCCCCATGCCCCAACTTCTCTCCAAACCTCCAAACAGCTGAGTGAAATAATAGACATCGACCATGTCTCACAACACATGCCTCGTTCTACATCCATCATCCACCACCTCTCTGCTAAGAGGACAGTTGTCTGTTTCACTGGGTTCCAAATGTGCCTCAGACACTCACCAGTCATGTGACCCTTAGCAAGTCACTTTGGTTTCCTTAGCTCTATCTACCATGGGGATAATAATAGCATCTACCTTTTAGGACTGTTGTGAGGATCAAAGGAAGTAATATATGTTAAGTGTTTTAGGCCTTGCGAACCAAGATTGGTCACTGCATTGATCTGAGTTCTAATGTCTATTGATTGACTAACTGACTCTTGGTTGTGCCTTAGTCCCTAGTTTCTCTGAAACCTTCCTATGCCCGTCAAGATTCTCAAAGCAACAAAGTTGTCTTTACTGGGTATGTATTTTTTTAAGCCTTTTTGTTGGCCAAGTATTGGCCTAGTTAATCCTCGCATTTGCTCAAGGCAGACAGATAAGGAAAAATAACTAACCTTTATGTGGTGCTTTAAAGTTTGCAAAGAGTCAGTGTAGTTACAACAGTGCCCCTTTATTATACTCATTTTACAATTGAGGAAACTGGCCATGTAGCCAATAAGCACCAGAAGTTGTATTTCAGCTCAGAGCTTCAGAAGATTTTTAGACACGGTGCCAGAGATGGGCTTGTCTGTTGTGTTCCTGGATTTCTTCACATTTAACTTGAAGCGGCCACAACATGGGAGCAAGCCCAAGTGGACGTTTGGCTCCTGGGATAATCTGTTGGGTTAGTGGGTGCTAGCTTTCAGCTTTATGGGGAGACAGGGGGAAAAGGTAATGGGGACTTTCTCTTAGATGGGGGTGATCTGCAGCTTACAGATGCTCCACAATTTCAGGACAACCCTGAACTGGAGGAATCTAAATTATTTACTCTTACAAAACCAATTCCGTAAATTCTGGTAGTTAGCCAAAAGCCTGAAGAATGAAATGGAAGTGACCACCAACCCTGGCTAATCCTATTCATTGGGTATTTCTGCAGTGTCCTATTGAGTTAAAAAAAAAAAAGGTCTTGTGACCTTCAGATCCTTCTGTACTAGACCGAGGAGGAGAAGGGTCACTCCTCCTGAGCCCCACAATCTGCACTCCCAGGGAACACAGGATTTAGGGCTAGGAGGGCCCTTGTTAACTGTATAGTCCAACTCCTTCATTTTACAGACAGAGAAATGGAGGCCCAGAGAGGGTGATGTGCCCAAGGTTGTGGAAGTAGTAAGGGGTTAAGTCAAGATTTGATCCCAAGGCCTCTGACGCCATATACTTATTGCCCAAAGTCCTCAGACATTAGCTCTCATTTGGTTGGCTCAACATAGCATTTTGCACTTCAGAATAATGTCTTGTAGTAGTAGTAATTATCCCCCACCCTAGTGGAAAGAAAACTGGAATTGGTGTCAGAGAGCCTGGGTTCAGGCTCTGCTACTTCCTACCTATGTGATCTTGAGCAAGTTTGTTTGAGCTCCCTGGGTCTCAGATTCCTTTTCTGTAAAATGCATTTTGACTAGACGATCTCTAAGGCCCCTTCCAGCTCTGCATTTAGTCCCTAGGACCCTATGTATTTTGATGCCTCCTCATGCCATAGAGGGCACTGGGGCTTTGTCAGCACAGCATCTCCAAGCTGCAAATCACAATCAAGCTCTGACAAGCCTTACCAAGTTGGAAAGGCTTTGAGTGTGTGGCAAATGATGGACTGTGTGTATTATAATAGTGATGAGAATTTGCAAGAAGGGCAGCTGGTGGGCCTGCAGTCAGGAAGACCAGACTTCAAATCTGGCCTCAGACACTTCCTAGATGTGTGACCCTGGGCAAGTCACTTCACTGCGTTTGCCTCAGTTTCCTCACCTGTTAAATAAGCTGGAGAAGGAAATAGCAAACCTCTCCAGTATCTCTGCCAAGAAAATCCAAAATGGAGTCACTGAAATGACTGACCAGCAACAGGAAGACCCTTATGCTATGGGAGAGGCACAGTTTTTCTTGGAGAAGAGTTCTGAGACAGTAGTTTCCTCAACTGTAAAACCAGGGATCTCTAGAATCCTTTCAATTGGACTTAGGGTCAGAGGGCCTGGTCTTTACTAGCTCTGTGACTTTGGACAAGTGCTTTTCTTTCTGTGGGCCTTAGTTTCCTCACTTGTCATAGGAGGGGGTTGATCATGGTTTAGAGCTGGAAGGGAACTTAGAGAAGTCATGCAAAAACATCACTTCCTAAAGATCTAGTCTTATCTAAACGCTGTTAAAGCGTCTCTCTTGCGAGGCCCCCGGGTGGGGGAGGTGGGAGAAGGGGCGGGGCGAGGGCGAGGAGGCGGGGCGAAGGAGAGGGGGCGGGCCAGGGGAAAAGGAACGAGGCCACTCCTACTAAACAGTACGCATAAGGGGCGGGCCTCTCGTGCAGCTCCTCCCTCCGACGTCAGGGCATGCGCGTGAGCTACCTTCTCAGGCAAGCCACAGTCTTCGGCTGTCATCCTTCGAAGCCAGTCGTTTCCTGTAGCTCGTCGTCGTCCTCGGCCGAGCGTTCGCTTATGAGCGCTCGGCCGAGGGATCCCAGCGGCCCTTGTCATCAGAGAAGCCCAGTTGGAAGCTCAGCGCTGCCCTTCGGTGAGTCCCCAGCGCCGTCTGCCCCGCACATTCCTGTTGCCCTTTTGTCTCCTCAGCCTTTGTCTCCTCACCTGTCATGGCGTTCTGCGCAATGCAGAACCGCAATTTCGACCTCGGCCGCCAGAGGGCGGCATGGCGCAGTCCCCCTCTCTCCCCCCTCCCCGTTTGGACTCGTAGGGCGTCTCCCGTGAGGCCATGCGGCCCGCAGCCTTTTTATACCTCCACTTCCGGCCACGTCACCTTTTTTTCGGGTGACGACGCTGCGGCAGCCATGGTGGGCGTCTAGGGGGGCGCGGGAATCTGATTTAATCTTACCTCGTGCGCGTCCGCCTGGAGGTCCGCTGGGCCACAGCGGAGCTTCGCACACCCGAGGAGCCTGTTCTTGCTGGGAAGCGCTCGAGGATGGGCTCGCCCTGGCTCCAGCGGGGGGTGGTGGGCAAGAACAAAGGAAACATGGCTGCTGCCGGGGTTGGGGGGGGGTCGGGGGTGGGATGGGTGGGATGGGTGTGGCCGTGGCCGTGGCCGGCCTTCTGGCTGGACCCGGCCTACCGAGGGCTGAGCCGGGCAGCCAGGGCCCAGGCTGGGGGGTGGAGACTAGAGGAGGAGGGTGCGAACCGAAGGCTCGCGGTGACTCGCAAGCTCTGGCCGCTAGTGGGCGCTCTCCTTATAAGGCATTGGTGAAGTCTTTGACACGCTTTATATTTTTTTCTAGGTGAACCTCCCTAAAACCCGCAGAACTTTTTGCAAAAAGTGCGGCAAGCACCAGCCTCACAAAGTGACGCAGTACGAGAAAGGCAAAGAGTCCCTGCACTCTCAGGGTAAGAGCAGTGGTCACTGCTGGGGAGAATGAGGGACCCTTCTGTTTTGACAGGTGGAAATGCTAATAGAAGAATCTATGCTTTAGATACTAGTATTCTTGCCTAAAAAAGCAGCTTAGTAAAGAAAGAAGTTATCCAAGTAGATGTTCATACCTCCTGTGGCTTGCAGTATGGACTTACTTGTTTAGTAAGTTCTCTTTACTTTTCCTAGGAAATAGGCGATACAATCGGAAGCAGAGTGGCTATGGTGGTCAAACAAAACCAATTTTCCGGAAAAAGGTGAGCATCACATAGGGCAGAACTAGCCCTTAGTTCCCCTGCTAAGGAAAAAGGGAATCTCACATATCTCAGCAACCGAACCGTTGATCCTTATAGACATCCTCATGGTGCCTGTTGTTTTAATCTTGGAGCAGTCCACCGTTTGTGGCAAAGCCTCTGCTTCTAGTGGTACTCTTGACATGATATAGGTAAAGCTTTTGAAGAGAGCTGGTTTGTGTACCATGGTTTTCTTTATGACAGAAAGGTTTAATTAAATCTAATCTTTGTTTCTAGGCAAAGACCACAAAAAAGATTGTACTGAGGCTTGAATGTGTGGAACCCAACTGCAGGTCTAAGAGGATGCTTGCCATTAAGAGGTGTAAGCATTTTGAACCGGGAGGAGATAAGAAGAGAAAGGTATGTATGTGATTGGGAATTTAAGCTGTTGTATGTATTTTCCTTTAACTTGCAGCCTTATTTGGGTAGAGAAGCTGTGTGTTAACCTGTAAAACCTTACCATTGGGGAATCATTTGTTCTTGTGGGGTGAGGGATCATTTGGTATACAAACAAATGGAGGTTTTAAAATCTGTAATACCCTGAGGTGTGGAATAGTGCTAGGCATGGCACCTCAGAGACCTGAGTTCAAATGCTGAATATTTAATAACAGTACCCTAGGTACAGGCACTTATACCATTTACCTCAAGTAACTCCCTAGGACTTAACAGACCTTCATTGGTGGATGGCCTATTCCTATAAACAGCTTTTCTCAGCTATTCCAAAACATTGGAGTTTCCAGAGTCCATGCTTGGTTTGGGCATCAGCAGCATTCTTAAATTATATACTAATCTGTTTTCTTCTGTTCTATTACAGGGCCAAGTGATCCAGTTCTGAATTTCATTGTTTTCGTCTTAATAGGAAGCCATTCCATTTCATTCCTTGGTTTTGTGTTTTCTGTCTTGGAGAGGAAGAGGCTTGAGTAAAACCAAGTCTCATAGTATGTGAAGCTTTTCCCCTCACGTAGGAAAAGTTCTTGAGGATGTGGCTGAATGTTGTAACTTTAATCATCTACTTAATGAGATTTGTGTGTTATGGAGAGAAAGCCCAGCTGGACATTGGGGGGGGGGGCTAGGGTCCTTGGTTATTAGTACTATGGCTAAAATAGTTACTGATAGCCTGGATTCCCAGGCAAATTAGGGATACAAAGTAATAAAGATAGGGATAGCTAGCCCCAATTTTATAGGCTTTCAGCAAATCCAATTCATCACCTTCAGGGATTGCCCGGTTTTCAAAACATTAATGAAGTGGTTTCCTGTATCTCTTTGGGTTGTTAGGATTCTTTGTGGAGAACTAATGATTGAATTGCTTGGTCATTAAAGGGATGACCTAGTAATTGAAAACTCATTGGTACCTTGTTTTCAAAGTATCAGTCAAGTGACTTCCCATATCTATTTGGGTTGAATTAATCCTCTATGGAGAACTAATAGCGATTGAAATAATCTGATCGTTAAAGGGATGGCCTATTAATTGAAAACTGATACTATGTGTAGGGGTAGATGGGAATGACAGCTGGTTAAGACTTGGAACAGTAAAGAATGGAGGTCATTGTTGCTTTATTTTACATCGTTTTTTGTATTACACAAATCCATATTAGGCTTTAAGCCCTCCTGAGGGCAGAATGTTTGTCCGTGTCGATCTTTGTATCTTGGCATGGTGCTAGCACCGTGCCTTTCACACTAAAGGTGCTTAATAAATGTTGAGTCTTCCTAATAGTGTTTGCCAGACTCTTTTTGCTGAGAGGGAACTAACTATACTTTGGGGGTTGGGGGAGAGAAAGAAGGTCACATCACCTTGAGAGTCTACATTTTATATCCTAAACATGTGCTAGGCTTTCCCTTCCTAGATATTTCTCATAGCCATTAAGATGATTTAGTGGCCGGGTCATCCTTGGGAAAACAGCATTTGTACAGTACTTTCAACAACTCCCCCATACCTACCCTGGGGGTAGTTGGATTGGAAATCACACATTTAGACCTTAGAACTGGGATGCTGCTCTAGATTTATATTTGGGGAGGGGTGGGTGGGAGGTTAGTTACAAATCATTAAAAGGATCATAAGTGGCCTAGAGGGAACTTTTTAAGGAGTGAAATAGTTTAATGCCTAGCAGCAGATGAAGGGAGCCCGTACTTCATTGTTGTGCCAAAAGGGAAGAAATCATAAAAGATGATTTTAAAATGATGTTATAAATTACAAGTTGTCTGACAGTAATGGAAATTAATTCATCAGAAGTGACATTATTGAAACGGAATCATCCAAGTCATTAGCAGTGGTGTAGCTGGAAACAAAGTTATCCCTGGTGGTATTAATGGAAGCTTTTGTGTTGCTGGAAAGTCTGTAGCTTCAGTAGGACCGTGCCTGTGGGGTTTACTCGAACCTTCAATTGAGATGTCCATTCGTAAAGTCCCAGCTCTTCTTTAACAGGAAGGATTCGTGTGATGAGGCAGGCTGGGGTACACCCTAGTCCCCCACCCAGGGCAGCAGTGGAAAAGGCATAATTCTGAGGTCCCCCAATCTCTTTCTGGTTAAACACAGCCACGGCCCAGGCTAAATTTGACAGGGGCCGTTCCCATACTTCAAAGTCCTCGTCCTAGAAAAACCGAGACAGTTTCAGCATTAGTAGGCAATTACTCATAGCCATAAACAGTCCTATGGTGTTTGCAGTAGAAGCTGTAGCCTGGAAATTATGCCAGATCAATGGCCACCTTATCTAGCTCTGAAGCTGTCAAAACAAGTTTGACACGTCATTAATTGGGATTCTAAAGGTCAGCAATTGCTATTCAATATGTGCAGATGAGGGCCAAAGAGAAAAGCCATTGTCTAGGGCAGGGCATGAGTGTAGTGCCATTGCTTTTATAAAATGCATATCTCTAATATCTGTAAAATGAATGGATTTCTCATTTAGTGACAACCTTGAAAAACAGTGTCAGTGGAAGTGCCCTTTCTGAAATTCCTTGTGTCCCATTTTCTCCCATGGGTCACCATCTTGCTAGGTACCTTCCTCAGCCGGTAGCCCTGCTTGCCCAAAGGATCCTGGTTGATTGCAATCACATCTGCATTCTGCAGCAGGGACTTGGATTGGGGACTGATGTGTCGGAGGTCATTAGACATAAAGAGCGGGGCTGCCATGATAGCCCAGAGCACCATCTGAGTTACCTGTTGATCCCAGCTGAGTCCAAAGTTGCCAATCACTAACTGAGACAAAAATGTTATATAAATAAGTTAAAACCATGTCTGATTCTTGGTGAGACTGATGGGGTGGAAAAGCAGTGTTCAGCTGAGGCATGACACAGACTGGAATCACTTAAAGCTTCCACTTGGTGTGACTGTTTTTGGTAGGGGTTAGCCTACATGGATCACCTACGGATCCCTCCAGATCTGAGATCCTGTGACTCTAGCACCATGTGAAGTCATATGCCGCCCACATCCCTCAGTATTTGTGATGAGAGCACTTTGTTAACCCCAGGATGCCACACAACTCAGTTATGCTCAAAGTACTCCATGTAGTAACTTCCATTCCTCAGGTCATAAAAAGGCCCTGCTGAAGGAGTCATGGTTTCGCCAGTTTGGGCTGTCTGGCCAGCTTCTCCCAATGCTCTCATGTGCTTACCATGTCAGGATCATTCCATCCCCCTGGTCCAGCAGCAGGTACAAGGCTCTCTTGCTTAGAAGCAGTCCAGGCCAGAATACTCTTCACACTACTCCAGGAATCGAAGATATCACCATAGTTCCTCCAGTGGTTACAGTACTGTCTAATTTCTGTGTAATTGGGCTAGGAGGCCAATACAATTTAATTAATGATTCTTGAGCAAAGTATGATTGGGGTGCAGGTACGGGGGGAATGTGCAGGAGAGGGAAAAGAAGACAATAATCCCAGTCCTTATATTAGCAAACGGATTTGAACTCTCTCTATTCTAGAGTAACAGAGTGATAGCAGGGAGGTCATGTGACTATTGTGTAGCAGGAGGATTCAGCTTTTTGCTTTCAATAACTCCTACCATCATAATGGCCAAGCCTGGGATACCAGGTCTAGACTAGGATTCCACTCAATTTTGGGCAAGACTGCCCATTGGTGGCTAAAGAGTTCCAGTTTATAACTTTCAGCTACCTCATGCTTTTGGCCTTATTGACAACTACCACTTGCTTAATCAAGCTTGGCCAGGGTGAAATTAGGGCCATGATTAGACACAGGCCCTTCTCAGGGCAGCCAGGGGTCTTACCTCATTCTAATACACTTTAAATAAGATGAGTACCTTGGAACTTACAAGGGAGAGCTGAGTAGCTCCTGTTTGTGCCGTGAGCAGCACCCAGCCAGGCTAAATATGTAAGTGGGGAAGTTATAAGTGAGGTCCAGCAGCACGCCCACCAAGAGTCAAGCTTTCTGCCACGACTAGCCTAAGAGCATCTTAACAGAAACAAGCAGTCAGGGGGATGATATACAAAGGAGGCATCTGGAAGAACTGGAGATGCTATTAGTCAAGTCCATGACAAGACTCCTGGAAGCTGGCTTACCTCCTGGAAGGGCCTCATATACAGGGGCCACTCACAGGAATACAGAATGCTCCGGCCAGTTTTGTTGAGGGCAAAGGACATATACTTATAGCCTGCAAAAGAAAAGAATTGGTAAAAGGCAGAAAAGGCTACTTCTCAACTTGGATGGATCCCATCAAGGGGGAATTCCCAGACAAAAGAGGCTCGCTAAAGGTTCCTTGGTCAGATTTGGGAGCATCTGCAAGCAGAAGCAGGAGAAAGCCTGGGACCTGACCTATTTCTAAATAGCTTCTCCTGACTGAGCAGCAGCGTAAATTAGAGGAGGAAGTAAGGAAAACTATTTCTAGTAACTCGAATTCACATAGTGCTTTAAGGTTGAAAAGTGCTTTACAAATATGGTCTCATCTAATCTTCACCAGAGCCCTGGGGGAAGTGCTCCATTTTACTCCATTATTATCTCCATTTTACAGTTAACTGGGGCAGACTGAGGTGAAATAACTTACCCAGGGTCACCTAGCTAGTAAGTGTCAGGAGGCTGGATTTAAACACAAATCTTCCTAACTTCAGGTCCAGCATTCTACCCACCGTGCCACCAGAAAATTCAGAGGATGCTACAGGACTAATAGAGTTGGAAACATCCATAGAGATCCAATCCAATCCATTCATTTTATAGTGGCAGATGTTAAGTGGCTTGCCCTCGGGTCACCCAGGTTGTAAGGAGCAGAGCTGGCATTTGAACCAGGTCATGTGGGTCCAAATCCAGTCTTCTCATCATTGGAGCACATCACCTCAACTTCTTTTTTTTTTTCTTTACTCCTGTGATCATTTGGTGTCCTCTACCTTTCCCTTTCTTCTGTGAAGGGATAGTGATTCAAAATTAGTGATAGCAGGGGAGAGGAATATTAAGAAGAGGCAGGGTCATATGGCACACAGGTGTCAAGCACATATATGACCTACAACACTGAGTGGGACCCCTACCAGATTAAAATGTGGGCAATATTTAACAAAATAAATAAAAAATACAATAGAACATAGATAATGTTAGTATGTGGTTTTCTAAGTCACTATGTATGGTTTAGGGTTTCTATCTGAGTTTGACACTACTGGGGTAGTGGATAGTGCTGAACTTGGGAGTCAAGATCAGGATATAAATCCTGCCTCTGACACTCACCACGTGACATGGAGCCAGCCATGCTGGTTAACCCCTGCACCTAGTGTAATTCTCCAAGACAGAGTTCCAGCTCTGCTTCAGGGAAGGAAGTTTCCTTCCTTCCAAACTAATCTAAACACACACAGAACTATTCCTCTCTGCCTGCCCCCTAAAAATCCCCAAACAAAACCAAAAAACAGCCTCCCACCCCCCAAAACCACCTCAAATGAAAATGACTGAGTATTAGCCACTCCTCCTGTCTACTGCTTCAGGACTTCTTTCCAGTGAGAATGGGAACTGTTGAGTCATTAAACTATTTCCAGTTTGCTAATATTTCACAAACCAACACTTTTGTCTGCCAGGGCACATCGAAGCTTGGGTAAGTCCAATGTACCTGGAGGTGAGCAGTGCTCAGCAAGGATTTGTTGAATGAAGGGGACAAGAGACTCTGAGATATGAAGGATAAAAACAAGAGCTGAGGTAGGGGTGGGGGAAGTACGTGAGGCTCTGAATATACCCAAGCTCTCTTGGTTGCAAGGTATCTGACTTCAGTGGAATCTCTGAGCCCGAGCGTACCTTCTACCAAACTTTCCAGGTCTTTAGAGTTACAGCCATCAAATTTCAGCAGGTCCACTCCCCAGTCAGCAAAGGTTTTGGCATCGATATCATAGTACCCATAGCTGCCTGGGTACCCAGCACAGGTGAGAGTTCCTACATCTTGATAAATACCTAGCTTCAGTCCCTTGGAATGTACCTGGAAGACAGACAGACAGACACACACACACACACAACACACACACCATAGAAAGCAATGAAGGGAAAGACTGAAAAAAAGAGAGCCTTGTGCCTTAGGTGTGAATAGACAGAACCTATCAGTGGCCTCCTCTACCTTTTCCCTTTCCTTTAGGTCTGTTCCTCTAAGGCAAAGGTGTGGCCCGAAACATTCCTGAGTATGGCTGAAGCAGAGTAAAATGTAATCAACAAATATTTAACAAAATAAATACAAATACAATAAAACATAGATAATGTTAATTTGAGGTTTTCTTTTCTTTTCTTTTTTGGTGAGGGCAATTG